AGGAGAGCCGCGGTTTGTTGCTCGAATTTCCGCGGCAAACGGGAATAATCATTTGGAAGCGGGATTTCGTCGTCAAAATTGTTGTCGCTGGAGTAAAAACAACCTTTAGCACTCAATACCTACAAAAAAATCCTTTATTACTCAATACTCCCTCCGTCCCATAATACAATAATGTTTTTAAGAGAGTAGTATTAAACCTTCTACAAGGTTATGCAAGGGAGAATCGGGATAGAATCATTGAGGCATGTTTGAGTTGGTGAATCCATGGCCTTGATCTAGGCGTCAAAACCTCTCTGCTGCGTGCAGTGAGTGACAACCATGCCGCGGTTTAGCCGACCCCACCGGTCAGGCTGCGATGCAGGGTACCCCGAGAGAGATGATGCGGCGGCTATAAAGGAGGACGGTGCTGCACACCCGTTGAACATGCCCCTCATCACTCAGCGCATGCAGTGTACCGCCGCACACTGACATCGCTCGCTCTCTCTCTCCCCTCATTACTCGCATCATTACAGCTCCCTCTGTCTCACTCCCTATCCACCTCTCGCTCTCTCTCTCCCACAGTCCACACCTGCGAGGAGGGAGAGTAGTGGAGCCTGCGACACGTCTCTCGGTGTGCTCGGCCAGTGAGCAGGGAGTGGAAGGAGAAGCAGGCCGCCGGGACAAGCACGGACGGCCAGCAATGCTCCCTCGCCCGCCTCCCCACCTCCTGCCATGGCGGTACCTTGTGCTTCTCTTCCTGGCCTTGGCGGTCAGCAGCAATGGCGTCTCTGCGACTGCCAAGCCAAAGGCCAAGGCGCCCACGCCGGCCGGGTTCGGGTACAAGCTGGTGTCCCTCGTCCAGCGCCCCAACGGCGGCGGCCTCGTCGGCTGCCTCCAGGTGAAGCGGCGCACCTCCACCTACGGCCCTGACATCCCCCGCCTCAGGCTCTTCGTCAAGTAAGCAATCTTCTTCTTCCTCCTCTCAGTTTTTATTTTATTCACAGTGCTCTATGTTGATTCCACGGCTTGTAGCACTAGTAGCGTTGTTTGAGGGGAATGTTTGTTTGTGGTTGCAATGATTCCCTGTTCGATCTGTTCTCAAGAAAAGGTAAAACAGCACCCCGAATTTTAGGAATTGGTCTGTGGATTTACAAGCATAAACGTGCCCAAGAAATCAAGAAATTTAGAAGCGTAATAATGCCCAGCTTCCCCTAGATGTCTGCCATATTTTAGTAGTAAAAATGTGTGTTCATGCTTCCATGATTAATCTGCCCAGACGGATTAGTGTTTGTAGTATATGCATTCCAATCATGAGTATTCCTAATTTACTAGTAGTATTCCATCTCCGAGCGAGGCCAATGCAATGCGAGCTCGCCCAATTTTTAATGGCGGAATGTGTTTGCTCTACTGTACATGCGCGTGCAGGCACGAGACCAAGGACAGGGTGCGGGTGCAGATAACGGACGCGGAGAAGCAGAGGTGGGAGGTCCCCTACGACCTGCTCCCGCGGGAGCCATCCCCGCCCCTCGGGGCAGCCACGGGCGGCGCCCCCTTCACCGCCGGGGAGTACCCGGGGCAGGACCTCGTCTTCACCTACGGCCGCGACCCGTTCTGGTTCGCCGTGCACCGCAGGTCCACCCGGCAGCCGCTCTTCAACACCAGCCGCGCCCCGCTGGTGTTCAAGGACCAGTACCTGGAGGTGTCCACGCGCCTCCCCGGCGACGCCGCGCTGTACGGCCTCGGCGAGAGCACGCAGCCCGGCGGCATCAGGCTCCGGCCCAACGACCCCTACACGCTCTACACCACCGACGCCTCCGCCATCAACCTCAACACCGACCTCTACGGCTCCCACCCGGTGTACGTGGACCTGCGGAACATCGGCGGCCGCGGCGTCGCGCACGCCGTGCTGCTGCTCAACAGCAACGGCATGGACGTGTTCTACACCGGCACCTCGCTCACCTACAAGGTCATCGGCGGCCTCCTCGACTTCTACTTCTTCGCCGGCCCGACGCCGCTCGCCGTCGTGGACCAGTACACCGCCATGATCGGCCGCCCCGCGCCCATGCCGTATTGGGCATTTGGTAACCAGCCCATCAACTCTGCCTGCCTTGATACATCTTGTTCACCTTGAGTTTCTTTTAGCCAATGGTACTACTCATAGTATATAGAATGAGGCAAATTCTAGCAAGAATAGTAAGCACATTTATATCCAGCTCCCCTTGCTTAATTGTAACCTTTGTTCAAAGTAGTAGCACTAGTCATTCATATATATGACTGCCAGGCATCATCTCAAAGCCCATCTAGAAAAATAGCCTCCTGAATCTGTCATTGTCTGAACTTTTGTTCCAAGAAGATGCCATATAAATTTTCATTGTCTCGACACCTGCTCAGTTCTAAATTACCTTTCTTTGTTATCCATGGAATTTTTAGTACTACAGTAGTACGTGCTGGTTATGGTTGTTTCAGTCTCAGTAGTAGTATAATATACTGTCAAGAAACTGGAAGACTTTACTTGCATCCTAGTGATATTCCCAGCTAGTGGACCAGCTTTGCTCCGAGAATGTCACTGCAAAAACCAAAGACAAAACTTGCTCTGAATATGGTCAAGAGACCTGAGAGACAATACCAAACAGCAATAAATCACAGCGGTTGTCTTCATTGGATTTCTTGCAGTAGATGTGGTCCATTTGCTATCACCAAATACCTCCATCTTACACTTCTGTAAACGTAGAGTTTTTTACTCCGCAATGACCATTTCACATTCAGCATTTGAATTTTAACATTGCAATCTGCGAACCTCTTATGTAGATGTGGTCCAGTTGCTATCACCAATACCTCCAGCTTACACTTCTGTAAATCGTAGATTTTCTTTTACTCTGCAGCACTTCCTCCACATCCAGCACAGAGCATTTGAAAAGAAAATGACATTACCATTTGAAAAAAAAAATGACATTAGCATCTGCAAATGTCTTACTCATTTTTGCTCTTGTTTGCAGGGTTCCACCAATGCAGGTGGGGATACCATAACCTTTCGGTGGTCGAGGATGTCGTGGAGAACTACTGGAGCGCGCAGATCCCCCTCGACGTGATCTGGACCGACGACGACCATATGGACGCCAGGAAGGACTTCACGCTCAGCCCCGTGAACTACCCGCGCCCCAAGCTGCTGGCGTTCCTCGACAAGATCCACGCGCGCGGCATGAAGTACATTGTCCTCATCGACCCCGGCATCAACGTGAACGACACCTACGGCGTGTACCAGCGCGGCATGGACCGCGACATCTTCATCAAGCTCGACGGGCAGCCATACCTCGCCCAGGTCTGGCCCGGCCCCGTCTACTTCCCGGACTTCATCAACCCCAACGGCGCGTCGTGGTGGATAGACGAGGTGCGGCGGTTCCACGAGCTCGTCCCGGTGGACGGGCTCTGGATCGACATGAACGAGGCCTCCAACTTCTGCACCGGCAAGTGCACCATCCCGACCACGCACCGGTGCCCCGACCCGACGTCCAAGGAGCCCTGGCTGTGCTGCCTCGACTGCAAGAACCTCACCAACACCAGGTGGGACGAGCCGCCGTACAAGATCAACGCCTCCGGGAAGTCGGCGCGCCTCGGCTACAACACCATCGCCACCAGCGCCGTGCACTACAATGGCGTCCTGGAGTACAACGCGCACAGCCTGTACGGCTTCTCGCAGGCCATCGCCACGCACAGGGGGCTGCAGAGCATCCAGGGCAAGAGGCCCTTCATCCTCACCCGCTCCACCTTCGTCGGCTCCGGCGCCTACGCCGCGCACTGGACCGGCGACAACAAGGGCACCTGGGAGGACCTCCGCTACTCCATCTCCACCATGCTCAACTTCGGCATCTTCGGCATGCCCATGGTCGGCGCCGACATCTGCGGCTTCTACCCGGCCAGCCCGCCGCCGCTCGAGGAGCTCTGCAGCCGATGGATCGAGCTCGGCGCCTTCTACCCCTTCTCCAGGGACCACGCCAACTTCGCCTCCCCGAGGCAGGAGCTGTACCAGTGGCAGTCCGTGGCGAGGTCGGCCCGGAACGCGCTCGGCATGCGCTACAGGATGCTCCCCTACCTCTACACGCTCAACTACCAGGCGCACCTCACCGGCGCTCCCGTCGCGCGCCCGCTCTTCTTCTCCTTCCCGGACTTCACGCCGTGCTACGGGGTGAGCAGCCAGTTCCTCCTCGGCGCCGGCGTCATGGTGTCCCCCGTCCTCGAGCAGGGCGCCACCTCCGTGGACGCCGTGTTCCCGCCGGGCACGTGGTACAACCTGTTCGACACCAGCAAGGCGGTGGTCTCCACGGGCTCCGGCGCCGCCGTTTTCAGGCTCCCCGCGCCGCTGAACGAGGTGAACGTGCACGTGCACCAGGGCACGATCCTCCCGCTGCAGCGCGGCGGCACCATCTCCCGTGACGCGCGCGCGACGCCGTTCACGCTGGTGGTCGCGTTCCCGCTGGGCGCGGCGGACGCGGACGCGGAGGGCGCCGTGTACGTGGACGACGACGAGCGGCCGGCCATGGTGCTGGCGGAGGGGCAGGCGACCTACGCGCGGTTCCACGCGGCCGTGCGCGGCGGCAGGGAGGTGACGGTGCGGTCGGACGTGGCCATGGGGAGCTACAGCATGAGCAAGGGGCTCGTCATCGAGAAGATCACCGTGCTGGGGCTGCACGGCGCCGGCAAGGACCTCGCCATCCAGGTCGACGGCGCGGACGACGCCACCGCCGTCGCCACGTCGAGCCCCTACTTCCCGGCCGCGGACGCCGCGCAGGCGCTGCGCCAAGGAGAAGAAGAGGACGGCGTGGAGGGTGGGAGGAGGGGCGTGACGATGGAGGTGGGCGGGCTGGCCTTGCCGCTCGGGAAGAGCTTCACCATGACGTGGAGCATGCACATCGAAGCATAGGAAAATTATATGCTTCCATCTGCATGCGCGTTCTTCGTTGGATTCGTCGTGTGTGTCTAATTTAGAGCCTAAAAAGTAGTTCATCTCATCGTGCTTGGGTCGGTTCTGTAACTTGTGTGGGGGGTGGTTACTTGCCCTCGAACACCATTTGTGAACTCCGATTCGCCATTGAAGCTCAGTCTTGCCGGGAATAAAACTGCATTTCGGCCGTTTTGCTTGTCCCCTGCATTATCATGTTTTCCCTTGCAGCTATTCAGTGCCCTAACAAGCAGTGAAAAACAACCACAAAACAGGGAAGAGGATTCGAAATAAACCAGGAAATTCAAAAAGAAATTGGAATTTTGGGATATCAAATAGGGCGCTGATCTGCGCCGGCGCACCGGCCCAAATTTGGGCCGGTCGTATCTGCGCCGTACGATGCAAGGCATCTCATCCGCCAGATCAGCTTCCCTGCTTTGTTCCCCCACCCATCGTTCCGAGCGAGCAGGAGAAAAATTCCCCTCGCCCCATCAAATCGACCCGCCATGCCCCACCCACCACGACCACCTGCCCCGCACCACGCAGCTCGCCGCCCCCGATGTGGATCGGAGTTCGCCGTCGCTGTGTCTCCACTCCCCCCCTCGTCTCCCCCGTGTCCATGCCCTGCAACCATGCACCTCCTCCTCCCCCTAATCCTTCGCATGCTTCTACTGCAGCGCCGGCCAACTCGTCGGCGGCAGCCCGACGATGCCCCCACGGTCGCAACTCTGAATGTGGTACCAAAAAAATAGAACATGGTGGAAGCAAAAACAATGACAGGATCCAGCAAAAACAGAATATGGTGGAAGCAAAAAAGTAGACTCAGCTGGGGATTCAGTGGTCGATTGTAGCAAAAAAGTAGACTAGTTCCAGCAGAAAAAACAATGACTGTAGCAAAATTAAGCACCGGTTTCAGCAGAAAACAAACTCGAACTGGGAGAGATTCAGTGGTTGATTGTAGCATACAAGTAGACCAATTCCAGCAAAAAAACCAATGGTTGTAGCAAAATTAAGCACTGGTTCTAGTAGAAAACAAACTCAAACCGGGAGAGATTCAGTGGTTGATCGTAGCAAAAAAGTAGACTAATTCCAGCAAAAAGAACAATAGCTCCAGCAAAAATAACGCACCAGCGGCGAGGGGGCATCCGGTTTCAGCACCCTGCCCACCGCTCATCTCTCGCAGCTCCGACTGGTTCGCGGGTTGAAGCTATTCCAGACCACGCTTGCAGCTCGCCGACATGTGCTTGTAGCATCTTGCATGCCCGCGTCTGCCATCCAGCAAAAACCATGGCCGCTTCCAGCAAAATCCATGGCCACTTCTAGCAAAATTAATGGCCGCTTCCAGCCAAAACCATGGTTGCTTCCAGCGTCTACCAGGGTCGGCTGTAGCAAAACGCCACCTCCGTCCCCACACCCGCCATGGCTGGTCGAGGTCGCATCTTCTTGAGCACCGGTGGTGCCCCCTCCCCCCGTGACGCCGGTCGAGGTCGTTGCAGCTCCAGCGGCCGACATCTGCAACATCCACCGCCGTCGGTTCCAGCATCCCCGTCGTTGTCGGTTCCCACCTCCCCGTCGCAGCACCGTGGTCGTTGGTGGGTGTCGTTGTTGCCGCCGCTTGAATTGGATTGAGAGAGAGAGAGAGAGCAGGCGGTGGGGAACGAAGTGGGTGGGGATGAAAACGGGTCACGTGAAGAGATAAGATAGGTGGCCAGCGGTGGTCAAAAAGCTTTTGCACGGGTCCCACATGCCAGCGCCTCGTGCGACGAAGCGACCGGCCGAAATCCGGACGGTCGATCGGAGGGAAACGTTTCCCTATCAAATATGGGTGCTCAATCTACTTCTGGGTAAAGTTTCGTGAAAAATACCAGGAAACGTATTGTCTGTAAAAAAAGACAAAAACAAATCCTGATACCACACGCGAGTACACTTTTTGGTATTTTCTAGTATTTTTCCATGAAACTTTACATGGGAGTAGATTGGGCACCCAGATTTTATATCACCCAAATTCAGGGTTTTTTTCCTGGTACCACATCCATCCTGGTTCATTGGTTCTTTTCGTATTTTGTGCCAAATTCAAATCTTAGTTTTAACTAACAAAATATTAGTGCATGTCATAAAAAACAATATCATTGGATACTCTGTTCAGATACGAACCCAACGATATAATTTTTGTGACATGCATTAATATTTTATAAATGAAAACTATGATCGAAATTTAACACAATGAAGTGGACCAGTAAACCAGGACGGAGGTAGTATGTTTTAAAATTAATATTCGTATAAGGGTGTGGAGCACCTAAGAGCCTGCGTATTTTCCAACAAAGTCATACATCAACAAACTCACTTTTTAAACCTTCATTCTCATTCTATCTTCTGGGCTGATTGCATAATCATAGGGGTACGCGCTTCCAATCCACCGCCAGATTGGCCCCCCTAGCTTGTAGCACCGGAGAGGTTGCCCCACTATAGCATCTGGAGTTCGCCCCTTGAAGCCACGGCGAGGTTGCCCCCACTATAGGTTCAGTTGCGACTCAACGTCCACCTCTTCCCCATCTTGCTTCAGGGGGTGACGGAACAACGGCGAGACCCACATCCCAAGTAGTGTCGTCCTCGGTGAGGGTCATCCCGGTCTGCTGTCGAAGCCTTGAAGACAAAGGATCAGATTGCAATTTTCTTCTCGGTTGCAGTCTTTCATGTAAAGTCCTTGCATAGAGTGAAATTTCTTTTTCTTTAGGGTCTCTTTTTGGCTATATATACTGCAATGCAATACTTTAAGTTGTTTGTAAGTACTTTGGGAAATGTCTCGCGTTCAAAAAACCTTAACGGCTAGTGAAGAAGATAACCAAAATAAAAGATCCTGAAACATCTCGATGATTGCAACTGCTTTTTTCGTATGGACTTTGGTGAAGACGGGATGTGGCTGCCGGATGGCCCTGTATGGGTTTATGGCGGCTCCAATGGCTTTATCTCTGTGGTCTATGTCCAGCCATTGTTGGAGACTTGAGGCTGTTGGATGGCCCCTTTAGTGGGTTCTTGGCGGTGTTGATAACCCTGTTGATGTTGACGTGTTGCTCTGATCCGCTCTACATATACGTGGTATATGTCCTGTTTGTGTGGTGCTCACCGCGTTAGGGATGTGAACATGTACGGTTGTTGAGGTGTGACGACATGGCCTGCATCCGTGACTTCTTCATTGAAAGTGGGGGCGACAATACATGGTGACTTAAAATTGGTGGTGCTTTTGAGCACATGGTTTTTCGAGCTCCGCAGTGAAAACTATAGATTCATCTACATTGGTTGTATCTGGTAATGGTGGTTTCTACATCATACCCTTGTTGGACGCATTGTATGGAGTTTGGTTAGACTTATTCTTCGGGGTGAAAACCCAAGATCCAGTCTCTTGGGTGGATCTAGCGATGGCGGCACTCGCGTGTTGTTCCCTTCTTGGGGCATCATTGTTGAAACACTTTTCTCATAGTCTGGGTACTGTCATCGGTGGTGGCTGCAGCTGCATGTCTGAGTTTGCTTCAACGGGACCTTTAGAGGTCATTTTTCTTTGTGTACACATTGGTGTTGGTTGTGTGCATCGTAGTTATCAAGATGCCAGGTGTGTTCATGATGACTCTATTTTCTTGATCCGACGTTATGAATCAATAAAATCCATCTTTTATCGATAAAAATAAAGCCCTGAAGCCAAACCATGGCACTACATGAAGCAAGTGCTACTGATCTACTAGACAAGTTTGGTAGTAGTGAACGAGCGCTCGAGATTGACCGGTTTCTTCTTTCTCTCAAGTAATCTGCAGCAAATATGTTCTCCGATGGATTAAGAAACAGTGTGCCTTTTCCTTCTGTAAATCTCATGAAGAGCCGAAATATACGTCTCTTTTCCGGACATCGAAAAGGCAGGCGCATTTACTTGTCTCTCAAAACCCGTGAAAAAAACTGTTTCACTCCTGAAAAAGTAGGATCCCACGAGGCGATCAAAGGAGGCGACGAGGGTTTCCTTACGCGCTGCCGGTGGCACCGCCGGTTCCCTCTCCTCTGTAGGCCGCTCCGACGGCGGGAGGGAGGAGGAACCTCGGGCATGTCCGCTAGGTGGGTGTGTGGTAGGGTTAGGGTTGAGGGTGACGCTGCCGAGGCCGTTGCGGTGTTGTCCCGTCGGAATAAATTTCTCCGGGATCCGTTCGCGGTCAGGCGAGGCTTTTGCCTTCGTCTAGGAGCCAGCGGGGTGGGGGATCCTTGGATCTCGTCGAGGTCGCGGGCTATGGTGGCTGGAGGTCCATCGGCCCTGGCCGTTTGGGTCCTCAGATGGGCGATGGATGCAGGGAGACGAAGACGCTTCTTCTTCCTTGTCGGTATGATTTGATGCTGTTGTTCTTCTCCTTCCTCTGCACTGATGCTGGAGGGAGATCCTGCTTTGCCCGGACGGATGGCCTGACCGCGGTGCTGGACCAGTCAGATGACTCGAGTTCTCTTCCTTCCGGAAGGGACATTTCTCGCGGTACTTAAAGCCAAAGATGGCGACGGTTGTTGCAGGTGTGTTGGATTGATGTCCATGCCCTCTCAGCGCTGGTGTCAAGAAAGAAGGAAGCAGCATGGCGACAATTATACTGTGGTCGAAGATGATGACCTGCTTGCGCATGGTTGCAGATCCTTCTGCGGCAGGGATCTTTTCTCAAGATTCAGTGATGATGTTACAGGGCTCTGGAGATCTTCTTCTGTTATGGTTGGCTTAGGGTATCTTAGGTGTTCGTAGTCCTTTGTATTTGTGTTTCAATGTGCTTATAAGGGTCAACTACTTCGTACTGTTTCGTGATTTGAATGAAAAAATTCTAAAAAAAGGCGGGCGCATTTGTATATAGGGAGAGAGGGGGAAAACGCACACGATTCCATGGGAGGATGACACGAAAACAGTCTAGATAGACGTGCGGGACCCAGAGGGCGCCCATGTCCACGAGGCATGTTCGTTCGCGAGACCC